TTAATTACCTTGGGCTTCAAAAGAAAGGGTTAGCTCAACTACACTTATTGACCTTGAGGATATGAGAGGACAGGGAAGAGAAGTGCCATGTAGGACTGTACTTTCAGACCATCTGGACCTTCCAGAATGCTGTATTAGTCAGCAGTCAGTCCCCATGGTCTAAATTACCCACCCACCCCCATATCCTCAATTAGGAGTACTTCTGAAACAAGTCAGTATACAAACAAGACAATCAAAGACACAAAAGCAAAACACATGTCAAAAAAAAAAATCTCCCATAGTGAGAATAAATACAATTAGAAACCTACAAGTACTTATCAGTATTTCAGACAAATCAAAATGTATTATGAAATGCATCAAATTAATCTGAGAAAGAGTGTTATGTTTTGTTTCTTTTTATAATGTTCTTTATGTGTCTATGTGACCAAGAAGGACACCTGGTGAGGTTCCCAAGCTCTGGGTGGGAAGGCTACTTGCTTTACATGTCTAGCAACCTACTCACTCATTCAGGCACTGGGTCTCAGGTCCCTACCCAAATCTCAGTGTGACAGAGGTACCCCATACAACCAAAGCACTGAATGAAAGTTAACTAAGTACTGCTATTTCAGGCACTCAGTATGTAATCTGTGTCACCATATAGGAAATAGATGCCTGACAAAAGTACACTGTCAATGTTGAAATGTATTAAACACTTTTTTGCAGTATTAATGGTTGATCTACACATATTTTGAATATGGTTTTCTGAAAAAATTTTATAGGGTAGGGTCTTATGGGAAATATAGGTAAATATTGCATATAAGCATATAAAGCATGTAAGTACTGACACTAGATATTCTCTTGAAATAATGTGGTTATTAATATTTATTAAAAATTTGTAAGACATGACATTTCAGTATAACTTTATGAGGAAAATAGTTTACAAATCAAGACTTCAATAACATAACAGATTTCTAAGCCATTAGTTTCAATGCTGTAATACAGACCGAAGATCAACGGAACACTTCAGTTTATAATTAAATGTTTTTGTAAGTGACTATCAGGCTTCAGGCAATTAATCTAGCTAAATGCTAAACTTTAGGAGGACAGGGCAGTTTCTTTTATTATCGATTTTGTTAGCAACTAATAATAATAATAATAATAACTAACATATCAGATCCCTGGCTATAGTTAGGAAAAGGAAAAATTCAAAAACCACTTTCTCAATGTGACTTCTAAATGGGATGTTTAAGTTTAAATTTATTTCATTTCCCTTTTACTAACTGAAAATACAAACAACAATTCCCACTCACGCTAGGTGGAACCTGGCCTTTTTCTAGGTAAGGTACAAAACAGAAAATGACCCAATCTCTTGAAAATATCAGAGTTGGAGGGATGGCAAGTATGCACATGTACACACGTATGTATGTGGTAATGGTGGGAAAGTAAAAATGCACCTAACAAATTAAAATCTCTCAGGAATACTTGACCTCAACATTTTTTAAAGGAAACATCTGGCTGGCAGAAATGACAGTTGACCTTTTACTTATGGTCCCCTGAACTAAATTATCTGTCCTTGTATCACAATGTATCCGATGTTTAAACTCAATTTCTAAAACTCTAAGGGGAAATCCAGCGCAAAAATTTAATGTTTTATTATAAACCAAAATGTTTAAGAACTCCCAATTATCTCCTAATCCATAACCCTCAAATGTTTCACGACAGGCTTTCTTATCCCCAAATCAGACTATTTTCTCCTACTTAGCTGCAGTTCAGAAATTAACAGCCGACTTATCTAACCACATCCACTGAAAAAAGCAAAAGCAACAACAAAACACCCGACCTCAGATCTATAATGAGCTAAGCATTTGGTTTTTTTTACATCTTAGAACATTTTGCAAAAATAAACAAAACACGTGACACAGAGAACTTAAAAAACACACAATCATCTATTTGGACAGATATACGGTAGGAAGGAAATAACAGAAATAAAGGTATGAGTTGCAAATCAAACTACATGCCTACTTATAGAATTTCTGCAGCTGTAGAAAATCTTGCAAATATTACAGAGAAAACATTATTGCACCAATACAAGTAAAATTATAAAATCAACCTGCTTTAAGATTAACCATTAAGCATGGCTATAGATTAGAAAATGATCAGACGTTTATGTCATTTGTTAACCAGGATCTTGATTTTAATCTCTAGGGATTAATTTATCCTTTATTTTTCAGAGGAGGAACCTAGGAAGGCTAATCCCTTCTACTTCTAAGAATCCAAGTCCAACTAGACTTGCTTAGCAAGTATTAGACAATCCTTCTAGGAGTGCTGGATACAGGCAAATTCCTGGTAATTCCTACACCCATTCAGTCCAGCTTCTACTCCAGGGATGCTTTCTGCTATATGTAATATTTAGAAACCCTACAGACATTCTTGGTGCTAAAGTATTTTATCGTATTAAGCAAAAACATTCTTAATATACAGTAAAATATATACTGAATTATAAGCTAAAAGTTCTCATATGTGTGAATCAAAAAATTCAGCGGAAGAAGGAAAGCTGTAACACAGCATCTCTTGGTATTAGTACTATTTGTAAAAGAGTGAAACAATCCCCATTTGCCAGGCATTCTTCACTATATCATCCATAGCACAAAAATCTCAAACACAGGAAAAAGAACAGTTTGTCAAACTCAGCATATGCTTTTGGCACAGGCCTTGGAGGGACTATCTATCTCATCTCTATTAAAACTTCAGAAAGAAAAAAGGTAATGGAAAAACAAATGGAGACTAAGTTACAATGGAAATATTCTGAGTCCCAGATTCATGGATTCATTGTAGAAAAAGAAAAATAAAAAAAGAACTTCCTCCTTTAGAGAAGTTAACTATTTTCAAAACAGTATCTTACTTTCAATGTTTGCTACCACTGATTAAATATACATTTTCCCCAAAAAACCTATTGTAATGGTAACTTATGTTGAAATCACCACTTTGTATGGTGGGTCTCTTGCTACACTCATTACATATTCTTCTCTACAGAAATTTACTCTCTGCAGAAATTCACTAATGTTACAACAATCAACCAAGTAGTGAATTTCATTTGGTCATTCTATTTCATGTTCACATTGTTTGTAGTCAATGCATTTGACACAATAACAGTAAGTACTTCACCATTATATTTATCAGCTACAGTGAGGAAGAGCTTATTGACTGAATAGTGATGCCATCTAAGAAGCAACTCTCTTTAATAAATATTTGTACCATTATCCTTTTCTCCGCTCCATAGTAAATGCCTTAAATCTCTGTCTGAACTTATTTCCCAAATCAATGAGATATTTACTAACAGGAAGATAGATTCCTACACTGAGTATTTAAATTATGTTTTAACTCTCAGTCAAAAAAAAAAAGTTTAGTTCTGGTTTGAGATTTTCAAATGCTAATAATCAAGTAACAGGCTATCTGGAATTCCGGATAGCCTGCAAAACCCTAAATCCCAGGAGTTAAGTCACCCTGTTTTCATTATGTCATCCTTTTGATTTAACTGTGTTTAATTAGTTTAAATTACTTTTATTTGATGGTTATATATTCACATCCTCTTTTTATTTCAAAGGAGAGAAATTAGATTAGCTTGAAGGTATAACTGGATTGACAGAGGTTTGCTCTATATTGCAAGAAATGGGTACTGAACAACATAGAGAATATTTTAATCTGTGGATACAGCTTAATTGTTCATTTGTTCCATGCTACACTTGCTAAAATTCTACAAAGCTACAGAGCTATAACATAGCAAAGCTGAAATGAAATGCATGGAGCCACTTCATGAATGACCAAAGTGTACAGATTCTCGTCTACAGGTATCCACCGATGAATCTCTACGAACCTCATATTCAAATATACCATAGGAATATCTACTACTCAGAATATGACAGACATACACTCTGAGAATCTCCATGGCAGAATGTCTACAGTAGTCATTCAAGTCAGCTGTCTGACAGACGGAGGCTCAGAATTATACTGTAAACTTAAATTAAAAGAAAACTTCTTTTAAAAAAATAGAAAGGGGGGGAAAAAAAACCCAAGTGAGACCAGAAGTTTAATGACCCTATAGCATAGAACGACCTTGCCATGGGTTGGGAACTCAGGGCGGGTGGAACACAAACCATGGCAACCACAGTAAGAGCAAGTTTACAGTATCCTCTTCCTTTCCTTCATATTTGAAATCATCTGAGCAATTTTTTTAAAAATTATGTTTGGTTTTATATTTGGAAACAACACAGAATTGCAGTTGGCCTCTACCAAATTTCACTCCAAAAAGATGAAATACAAGAATAATAAATCTGTCTCATTTCAGAAATCCCTAATGATACAACAGGCATCTCCAAGGAAAAAAGAAAAAGAGTCTATTTCTTTAAAAACTGAAAAATTGATTATAAAATTCTAATAAACAATAACTGTGGAAGATGTTTCTTCTTACGTTTATAACTAACATGGATAAGGAAAATGTATAACTGATGATTATTTTTACTAAACACATTTCCATTTTTTGTAATGAAGAAAGGTTATGTACATAATTGTGCAAGCACTTCATTCAGACAACTTATCATCACAGTGTTGCATCTGAACCCCAACGCTGTCCCTTCTGTGTGCCAAACCTTGAGGAAGTGGCACCCTTCTGGCTCCTCTTAAAAGAGGGCACACTCAGGAGAATTAAGCCACCATGTCAGAGGATGACAAGATAAATCTAAAAACTATCCTTCAATGTAGTCATCTACTCAACTGTTTTTCCTGAAAACAGACCTTCGCTCCTTCCCTCAAGGGAGAAAGAAAAAAACAAACAAACCCTAACGTCTCTGTTCAGAATGAATAAGGAATATTTTAAAAGAGCACCAGTGGTCAAGCACTTTGCATTTTCAGAAATTCTTGCTTCAGATACCAGTTGCTTCAAACTAGAGATTCCCCCCGCCCTCGGACCTCAAATCCAGGCTACCCACGATGTCTTATTATTTACGACGTGTTATGCCGAGTACCTGTGAAAGGGGGCACTCCTTGGCCAATGAACTCTGATTCATATCTTTCAGTAAATCCTTCAGAGCATTCCTTACTGTGGTGTGTGACCATTGTTCAGGAGGCAGGTCTTCTAGTTTGGGGCAACTATTTGAGACATAGATTAGAGAGGGGATTATTACAAGATTGCATCCCACTGCACAACATTCCTTTAAGACAGACAGATTTCATTTTGCGCATCAAACAGATGCATCTGGAGATTGCTCTCGGTCTCCTGATTGTTCCGATTAGTTAATTACTTTATACAACACATCTGCTGTATCGATGCATGAATTATACATCAGCTGCCTGTGGTGGCTATTTTTTCATGTTACTTCTACCTTCCTGCTCTGATGCGCTTGGGAAGACAATTTAAGGTGTACTGCTTTCTCACGAGCCATCGTGAAAAGCATTAATGTATTAACTGATTTCCTTTCATTACTCTGTTCATACGAAATGAAATGGTAAATATAATACATACATATATACAATAAAACCACAGCAATAGCAAATAGGGCATTCTTTCTCAAAATGTACACAGATGGCACTGTTCATGATATGCAAAAATATTTTTTTCTTAAGTAAACTTTATGTAAAATGCGGTCTTGTAATGCATCATTTAATTGACTAAATGTAAAAAGTCTTATTATCCCAGAAGCTGCAAAAACCTACAAATTTGGGTGGGTGGGTGGGTGGGAGGTGGGGGAAGCTGGTTTTAAATTATACCTCTAGCTTAGGGAATAAAAGCAGAAGCATAAGGTAACAAAATTCATTTGGATTAACCTTTCTCAAACACAAGGTAAATAAAAATTAAAGGTTGACCAAAGATACTTCATTTCAAAAGCTCACATAAGAGGAATGTTTCACTCTAGTTGCAGCCAGGACTCACCTGTGTAACTGAATTTTCAATGTGACCACATGATACACATCTTGAAGCATATCTGCTACGGTAGCATCAGGGGCATCTGTCACATAAGACAGTGGAACCGGGTTCCACTTTCCAACCTGGATTAGCCCTATTCCAGATAAAGAGAACACGTCACTGAGTATTATACTCTTAGATAATACATCACATAGAAAGTCCATCTTCTTTTCTCCATCACCCCCGCCATAAGCAAGACTGTTATTTCTGTTTAAATGGCTCCCTTCCCTCTAAAAGGCAGGTCAATGAAAATATTCGCAGCTTAGCTTTCCAAATTGTAAAATTATGTAAATGACTATAGGGTTGTTTATTATTTTGGAAATAAAACCCCATCAATAAAACCTATGCATAAGGCCACATTTCCCTAACTTACAGGAAGTTCTAATAAGACATAGCTGAACCAGTTCTAAATGGCTTTACGATTTAGATAAGATTCTCTATTGCAGTGGGAATCAGCATTGAAAAATACTTTACAGCCCATAAAACCATCAGAAACAGAATAAAAGAAACAGAACTAGATATTCAGTCATAAATGCAAATTGACTCTCAACAGTCCATCTGCTCAAATACGCTCCTCACTTCCTTGTGGGTCCTCAGTGGAGCAGATTATTAAGGTCAATAAGCATACTAATGATTCAGCTGAAGTAATTTAAAAAAAAAATCTACCTCGACATTCCACATGAGCAAAATGTGTGTTAACTAAACCAAACTGAATTAAGCCAATTTTTTAAAGCCACAGTCTATAAGAAACAAATGTAAAACACAAGCTACATACAGTTCTTAGAGTAAAAATACCCACTGCTTTCTCTGCAAGGTAAACAAAGGATGCCAAGCAATTTTTCCAACACCATGTCTGCATTATTTACCTTTGGCCTGGGCAGCAGAGCTATGCGAGTAACCTAGAGACAGCAGTGCCATCTCTATCAGCTGGTTGAAAAGCATGTCCTTTCTCACCAACACAAATTCCGCATGCTCCTCCTTGCAATCATATTCGATGGCGTTTTCATAATGTTCTACCACGCAGAAAACTGGAAGCATGGTTCCTATGAAAAAGACAGAGAAAAGGACACAGAAAACCAACAATCTTCAGAAATGTAGTCTGTGGGGGAAACGCTATGAAAATAAATCTTTCCCACATGAGAGGTTGTGCTTCTAAGGCAGACTTGGTGGAGAAGTACAAGTGTACACACACACACACACACACACACACAATCTTTTTATTTTCATAAAGTTGTAAAGCAAACAGTTAAATAGCATGTGAACTTGGTCCACAGATATCAGAGACTCTCCTCTCATTTTAAAAGTCCATTTTCCAAAAAAGCAATAAATGCAGGATTACCTTTTTGATCAAATAATAATGCTGACAAGAGAGAAATAAGTGTGTCTTGTCTGATTTGCTGTAAGTGACACAGAGTATGCAAACATGCAAACACAACTCACTGCAGTTGTCTCCAGTGGAATCTACCTTTCCCACTGCCTGCACACTCCTGTTAATCATAAATTTCTCCTGGTTGTGTCCAAACAAATTATCTTTGGGCATAAAAGTCTTATTCCCTTCCTTTTTCAGATTATTTTACCCTAACTGGTTCCATAAGAGAAAAACAAAACTTAACCAAATGGATACTCAGAATAGGTACAAAAAGGAGACAAACAGCATTTATGTTTGTGACTATTCATTGAGGCTACCTGACTGCAAAGACAGCACAGCAGCCTTTAAAATGAGTGATCTCTCTTATAGTAAATAGGATTTTTTTTAAAAAATGAGAGAGGGAAACTGTCCTCATTGGGATCTACCAGGGTAAGGAATCTGCATGCATCTGATGGGTTCTCTCTTGCTTTACTTTAAGCCAGTATAATAATTGAATAGCCAGATAACTAATAAACACAGGGCATACCACCGTAAGAAAAGAGGCTTGGTTTACAATCTGCTGTGGAATTCAAGGTATTTACGCAGCACACCGTCAGACTTCCAATGATAACTGAAAAGGGTTAAAAGCAGATGCATCTGAACTGCACTGTGGCAAACTGCCAGGAGGGTATCATCTTTAGCATAAATGATGACAAGGGTTACTTTAACAGGGCACCCAGGATCCTCCGTTAGTCCTACACATCCGTGCCTAAATAAGCTCCATCCTCTGGACTTGAAGAACCCTACCAACTTCTGAAGATGTCAAGTGCATATCAACGTTGCTGAAAATCGGGATTTTCTACAGACACCAGAGAGGCCTTTTACATATTCTCTATTTGCTTGTTTCTGCTGAACAAAAGCTGGAGATAAAACAGCTACATTTTTCCATTTGTGTGTCTTCACCAAAGCTTTAGTGAACTGTTCACAAGAGATCCTAGCTCTGACAAATAAACCCCTTTAGGTTTACTTAGAAAAGCTCACAAACTCATTCGGAAGTACCAACAGGCTAGGCATGAAAAACAAGCCGCAGAGCTTGCCAATATTCTTGTCATTCATTCAGCTGTTTTATACCAGAGAGAGAACCCGTCAGGGATCAGAAAACGACTTGGGGAGACCACAGCAGAAACAGCAATATGCAAACTGGTGATTTCTTCCTTGGCTTGAAGGTATTTTGGCAAAATCTCCTAAACAAATAAAAACATTCAACCCCTTTTTCCTAGTAGTGCTTTCTCAGCTAAGCCACAATTTTTATCTAGCACCTGTCAAACAGAAACCATGCACATGAAAAATAAGATGGAAAACACAAACACACACACACACCAAGAGGCTTTAGTGATTTTGTTATCTGGATTAAGCTGAGACTCTTCTGCCATGAAACTGCATTTTAAAATAAGTCATTATGGGTACAATACATTTTTTAAAAACATTTAAGCAGAAAGTGAAATTACTATACTTTTTGTTTCCTTCTCCCCCTGTACTAATGTCTTCAAAGACTTGGGTTAGTACAACAAAAACACATACACTGGTTTTTCCTCTTAAGGGAAGAAACAGATGTGTTCAACTCACACCTATGAAATAGAAAGGCTGTCCAAACTATTGAAATATATTGGATTTACCTTGTCTTTCATTGGTCAAATATAGAGATCTCTTATAAATAATAAAGGTGGCTCTAGAGGAAGTAACAATAGTATCACCTAATTATAAATCCAGCTGCTAAATTTTCTGGTAAACTGTCACAACTGCCCTCCTGTGACTGAGAGTAATGCTAAACAGGAGTCTTCTCTGAACTGCCTGATTCTTTGGGCTAGTATTTGGCAAGGCTTCCAACTACAGCAACTTCATAACCTTGCAACGTTAAAAGGGGAGAGTACTGGTCACTGCTGAATGCTAAAAATACCACATGATTTAAACCTGAAGGCAGTCTTAGGAGCTTTTGCTGAAGGTTTATGAGCCTGTGTAAACAGCACGTCTGCCATAAGGAGCAGTGAAGTCTGTAGAATCCTTGTCTAAAACTGTCCTGGCATTAAAGTTTGCTGTGCAAATATCACATAATACCAGAGACAGCTGAAATCTCCTATTTAGGAATTTATGGAACTTATATGTTTGCAGGCGTCAGAAAGTCTTTTTTATAGAGCCCCAGTGCTTCACAGTACAATATTAATGTACTCTGTTTGAAAAGCCGTAATAAATTATATTTTTAATGCTCTTACTCTGGCTTTCTTAAGATGCATACATTCTTGGCAAACAATCAATAAATAGGGCAATCATGAGTAGAGGCCAAAGAATCTGCTGAAGTGCTGTTTTTCCATTTTTAATAGATAAAGATCTAACAATACGGACTGCTGTGTCTGTTCATTTCAGGATCAATATATTCTTTGTTTTCGCCAAACCAAGGAAAAAATAAATGATTGTGTGATAAATGTTATGCATCAAACACAATGAAATTCCTCTGCCTTCTAACTTTATCTACTTAATATTCTTGGTTGCTAAAAGATGGCATTTTTATCCTTTGCTTAGTAAATGTTCAGAAAATCTGATTCCTATACATGTTATTCAGAGAGAAAAATAAAGACCCTTAAGAGACACGTATAACACTTAGTACAGGAACTGCTCTATGCCAACAATGTCCAACACAGGCAAAGTTGTTAAACTTCATCAACTTAATACCGACAGAAAAAAGTCATTTCACATCTTCCATTTATAAATACGCAAAATCTGGCCCTCCTTTATCAACAATAGTTACACGGAAAAGTTTAAAACGAGAATCATCAGGGCTTTCACAGCAAAATAATAAACCACAAAAAATGACATAACCAAACTTCAATATCATCTTATGTAAGGTTTCCATCATCTCTGAGATTGCCTTCAAAAAAGCTTATAGAAAAAGCTGAAGAGGCTCTCACACAATCCAAGTGTCATTCTGGGTGAGTCAAAGCAACAACCTACATATCCCTTACAACAATGACAACATCTTATGAATGGACCCTTGCAGAAAATGAGACCATTACACTCAACTCAGTCTTTATCATCCCACAAGTCCAATGGTTCTGATCTTTAGAGTAAGATGCTCCATCCAAGCACAGAGCCTATACTTCAAAGCATGATGAGCACTGCAGCCCAGAATGAAACTACATTAAGATCAGAAAGAGAATCCAGGAAAAGAAAATTCAAGCATGTTCTACCCCTCCACTCGCACAGTGTGGCCTTGGATAGACTTAAATGCTATTTGGTTTGAAAGTATTTACCTTTCCTAAGGTTGGTCTTCATCAGATGGCTTGAGTGTTTTAAAGGCACTCCCTGCATTTTTGCACCTGTACTCCCAAGCCTTCCTCTTCCTAGAGGGCTCCCATTCTGCTCCAGGCGGGCAATCTTGGCTGGTGGGCCCTTCGGATCACTTACATTGTTAGACATTTCTGAATGCTCTTTCCCCTGAGTTGCCTCATTCAAATGATCCATACTCAGTCACTGTCTACAGATCACCTGTCAGAATGCAAAAAGAAGATGTTAGAATAGGGTGAGGGATCGGTACCTATGTATGTCTCCCATATAAACCTTTTGCCTAGACATTTGTGTCTACAAATGAATTTGTACAATTGCTTACCTATACACAGTACAAATGCTTCTGTATTTCTAGGTAACAGCACATTTCTGTCCAAATGAACAGAACAATTTGTGAAAAGTGTATCAATACACATAAATAAAAAGATAACTTGTCATCTATAAATAAAAGTAAGTAGAAGAAAAAGAGCTGACTTTTAGAACTAGAATGACAAGCTTAAAAGAGAAAATAGCTATTTATGTGGCCCCAAAATTTAAAAACTAGAAACTCATGATAGACCACAATAGCAATATTTTAATGAAGGCTGGAGATAATTATCACAGTCCAAAATAGTAAGTTTAACACGTTTATGTTTTATATTCTTTTAATTTTGACATATATGTATGTATACACGTCCATCTCAAAAAATATACCAAACATCTAAGTACTTTTTAAAGTCCCCATTGGTTTCACAAGTTAATGCACAGAAAAAGTTTCCTCCTATCTAAGTTTCAAGAGTTACGTGACCTGTTAAAGATCTAGTCAAGCCTTAGGTCAAACATGTGACTGGATCATTTCTCTCCTAAGCAAACAGGAAGAAGTGAAGGGTTTCTTTAAATTTCCCAAGTACTGAAGCATTAACAACTTGCCTTTTAGAGTTCATAGTTATATTTCCATTACTAACACAATGCTGTTAGCAATTTAAACAGCAAAACGCTTGAAAGTACTGTGTGATAAACACAATAGGCTCAAGTACCAAACTGACTTTCAAAAAAAAAATCACAATATTGGTAAAACACAATCTTACATTTTCAAAACAAATCTCACTATGCCAAAGAAAAGTTACCACCCTCATTTCAGAAAATTAAAAAAAAATATTTTTCAGTTAACATATTATGCTGTTTATAATAAAGTTAGGAATGTAATATCAAAGTCACTACTAAACTACAGTTTTCACTAGAATTTTTTTTTAAAGTGAGAATTATTTTATGAACTTTCACCTTACTTTTAGGCACTGGGATTATCAACATGAAGGAGAACCTCTTTGAAATACCAGAGAGAAAAATGATAATTACTACTTTCTTCCAGTCATTTAGCAATATGACATCTTTTTTTTTTTCAAGTAGAATACCAAAGCTACTCAGATCTGCAAGTGTTGAAAGCCAGTTTGTATCATCATGACTTTTGTGCAAACATTTTTTCCTATCTGTTTAACTATGGTCTACTTTGTCCTATATAATCAGAAAGGAGGTAGACACTAATCTGGAGGGTTAAAAGCAACTTTCAGAATGCCAATTGAAGAACTACAAAGTTTGAGAATAATAATGGCTATTTATCTTTGTGATCCAGGGGGGGACGCAGAGAACTAAAGGTTTACCACTGCTGATAGAGGTCCCATCTGGTTTTGGTTATGAGGTTCATTAACAATAAATGTGCCTTTTTTAGCCACTTTTTTTAATCAAGATATTCTTTTTATTATATTAAACTGCAGTCTCAAGCCAAAATTAGAGACTGAAGACTATTAACTTATTCAAAACACTCTATAATGTTTCATGTAGATTATAATGCAGGGCTGCTTTTTCTAAAATAGGTTGCTTTACCCTAGAGGCAGAAGATGAATTTTAAAACATATGATTTGAAAAGAAAATCTTTTAACCCTTGGGGCAACTTATGAAAGGAACACAAACAAAAAAAGGGAAAAAGTAGACAAAAGTTAATGCTGCAAAACGTATTAAGTAATCAGGAGGCTCAGCAGCACTTCTAGGGTGTTGAGCAAATGAAAGTGATAGATTATAATTAAGTTAATGTATTGACAATCAAAACATCACACAGGTCAGGCAAAATGGTCCTTTGAATACTCACCTAAAGCATCTATTAAACACTAAGTCATCCTGTAAAAAGCTTTACATTATAAAGCAAAATTACATGCACATAAAACACCCAATTTACTCCTTTAAACTCTATGCCTAAGGCTAAAGTTCACCAAACCTCAGATTGAAATTGAAAAGAACCACCTCAAATAGGCCTCTGGACTGACAGCAGAAGGAACTAACTATGGTCTGAACAGATGCCAGGCTGAGGAGTTTCTTTTGAGTTACACATCTTAAAATCCATTATAGTGCAATGTTTGATTGGCACATAGAAAGCAGATTTTTCTCAAAATCCCATCTCTCTGCCCTTAAACTAAGACCTTACAGGATCACTACTGAATGAAACCATGAACTTGGTCTCATCAATAACTTCCCTTCAAAAGAAAGAAGAAAAGCACGAAATTTCGGTTTCAATAAACTATTTTTTTTTTTGCATCTTGGGACTTTTCAATGAGTTCCTTGCTGTACTGCCGCCCTGGCCCCCCCAGTACCCCATAATCACATTTTAAGAAATTGTACCCTATTCCATTCCATATGGCCAGCACGATCCAGGCCAAGCTTTCACTGTGACCTTTTAAAGAGACAAAGAAGCAAAGTACTATCTAGAAACAGAAACACGGCAGTTTTACTGAGTGAAATTAGCAAAACCGACCTGAAACTCACCACTTCAAAACTTGACAGCATATAAATAACAAACACAAAGGAGATTTCCTTTGCAGCCCAGGTTCTTGAAGTGAAGTTCAAAACTGATGTGTTCTATGTCCTTTTTTTTCTTTTAATTTTAAAAAACAAAACAAAACAAAACAAAAAAAAAAAAACCAGCAGCAGACCTGAAGGCGACTTCCCCTGAAATTGTATTATTTTCTCCCTTCCCTTACCCCCGCCCCCCCTAAGCGGGGGAAGGGCAGAAATAAATGTCTGGAAGAGTAGCCATGGGAAGAGGGGGGGGGTTATATTAAAAAAAAATCACAAATCGAAAAGCAACATAGATGGTTTGTAAAATGTCTAACCTCAGAGAACGGGGTTTCCGACGGGGAGGAGGGGGGAGTGGGAAGAAGGGAGGAGGGAGAAGATAAAATTGATCTGACAAGTGATTCGTTGGGGGAGAGAAATCGTAAAAAAACAAAGCAGAACCCGTTTCGGAGCACAGTGTGGTGTGGGGCTGGGGAGGCGAGGTGATGCCTGAGGAATCTCTCCCAAAAAAAAAAAAAAAAGGAAAAAGAGGAAGAGGAGGGGGGAGCGGACAGGATCACCGCGGCCCAGGTCTCCAGAAAGGGGGTGGGGGGCCCCGAGGTTCCGCGCTCTCCTCCCTCGCCTCCTCCCTTCCGCTCGCCTCGGTTCCGGGGTTCGGGTGCGAGGACGCCAAGTCTACTTGTGGCTGTCACTTGTGATCGGATTCTCCGAGAGCCCCCCGAGATCGCGGCGGCGGCGGCGGCGGCGGCGGCGGCGGCGGGCGGGCGCGGGGGGGGGCGGGGAGCAGGCCACCTCGCCGGAGCGTCCCCCGTCCCCACCCCCTCCCCGGACAGCCCGACCCAACCTTAAACTTTTGTGTTGGTTTTTTTCCTCTCTCTCTTTCCCCCACAGCCTCGCGCCCCTTCCCCGCAAGGAGGGGTGGGGGCATCTACCGGGGAGCAGCGAGGGCGGGGGGCCGAGGGGCGCCACCAGAGCCCCGCACGGGCACTAAGATGCTACTTTGGATTCCGCCCTCGCCGACCGCAGCCCGGAGGACCCTCTCCCTGCCCATGGACGCGGGGCTGGGAGCGTCTGGGGAGCCCCGGCGAAGAAGGGGACCGGGGGAAAAGGGAGGGTGGGGGGGAGGACGGCGAGAGAGGGGGGAGGAGGAACGGGAGAAGGGGACCCAGGAGGTGGGGAGGGGGGGGAGAGGGAGAGCACGAGCGCCAGGCACCCCAGCCGACTCCACCGCCACCGCGGCCGCCGCCACCGCCTCCCCGCCCCCTCCCCCAAAAAGTCGGCCGAGCCCTCCCCGAGCCGAGTCCGAGGTAAACAACGGAGCGCCACCACAATGGCACGGGGGACCCGGGCCCGGGGAGGGGTGCGGGCGCCCCCCCCGAGCGCCCACGAAACTGATCAGGAGTTTCTGGCACGGCAGGCGAGCGAGGGGGGCGGGAGGCGTCCTCGGGAGTCGCCCTGGCTTGAAGGCTGGGTCCCCGGGCAGGCTAGCCCGAGGGCGGCCGTGGCCGTGGCGGTGGCGAGGCCGGTGGTGGCTGGGTGGCACTGGGAGAGGTGTGCGCGCGTGTTTGTGTGTGCGTGCGTGTGAGCGCGAGTCCCCGGACGGGGCTGCTCCTCTCTCGCTCCCTCACTCTCTCTCTCTCTCTCCACGGCCGCGCTCGCTCGCTCGCTCGCTCTCCCCCTCGCCGCCGTCTCTGCCCCCATTAAATCACGAGTTGACTCATCCCGGCCGCTGTCGCCGCCGCCGCCGCCGCCGCCGGGCCCCGC